AGTCGCTTTTGAAGACATAGACTCCTTTCGGTCTGTTTGAGTTCCCACGAACGCCATTCGGATTACGGAATGCTGCTCAAACTTTTCAAAGGTTTATCGATCTAGATTTTTTTCACGTCTATATTGATGACCTGCTAATCGTCAAACGTAGATGAACATTATTAACAGCTTACCCTCTTATCCCAACGTCTCTCGGATAATGAAATAGTATTCAACCCGGACAAGTGCGAATTGGGCAAACCAGAAATAATGTTCTTGGGTCACATCATCAAGCAAGAGGGTAGTTTACCTTGTGAGGACAAAGTACGTGCAATAAGGGTGTAGCGACCGAACAATCAATATTCGGTTAGAACAACGGACTGACGAGCCCAAAATTTATTCAATTAGACCAGAGCACGTTCCTCTGTATAGCTCACAACGCGTTTTTGAGATACTCGTAATATATTATATCAAAACACAAACTCTGTGCCCAATATAAACGGTTATAATTAAGAAAACAGAACAAAATACATCAAAAATACAAAATACCTCAAAAGGTACAGCCTGTGCTATACATTCAGAAGTGTCTCTAATGCAAAGTACCGCGCTAAACAATGAAAGAGACAGTTAATACTAAAGGGTTGATACCTGAGAATCAATACAAATATTTCCAACAAAATGGTATCAAATATCTATCTGCGGGGATTGCAGCAATCCTTCCAAGCAGACAGTCAGAGCGGCAGACATTTTCAGAGATCAAGTCAGCGCTGGCTCAAGTCTCACTCCTCGCGCATCCAGACCTGTCAGCCACGCTTAGTATAGCGGTTGATGCATCGGATTTTGCCATAGGAGCCTTTATGCAACAGAACATCTCCGGCAGTTGGCAACCTCTCGAATTTTTCTCACGGCGCCTTACTTCCACGGAGACGAGATATAGCGCTTTTGATCGAGAGCTGCTAGCAGCCTACTGTGTCATCAAACATTTCCGGCACGCAGTAGAAGGACGTCAGTTCATCTTATTCACCGACCACAAGCCCTTAACGTATGCACTGAATAGCAAATCTGACCGCTATTCACCACGAGATTGCAGACATTTGGACTACATCTCCCAGTTCACGACAGACGTTCGTCACATTAAAGGCGAGTCAAACTATGTTGCCGGTGCTTTGTCACGTATCCAAGCAAATGCATTTAATTTACCGGTGTTCGATCTTCCTGCTATGTCTGCCGCTCAAGCAAATGATCCCTGTTGTACGTCCCTACAGTGCCAGGAAGTACCACTACCTACTAGCTCAGGTACTATCCTATGCGATACTTCTACCGGTCTTCCCCGACCCATCGTACCCTCTTCTTAACGTCGTCTTGTTTCTGACGTCCTTCATGGACTAGCTCATCCAGGTATCTCAGCCACATTATCGCTGCGCGATACGTTTGGCCGTCCATGAATTAGGATGTCAGTATGTAGGTTAAGCAATGCTTGCAAGGTCAACAATCAAAAGTGCACAGGCACGCAGCTGCCCTCATTGGCACGTTCGCTACACCTGATGCTCCCTTCGATCACGTTCATATGAACATTGTAGGACTATTGCCATCACCGCACGGGTATGACCAAATACTCACGTTCATCGATCGCTTTACAAGATGGTTCGAAGCTATACCCATCACGTCTATTACGGCGGAGATAGTTGCTCGCCGCTTCGTAGAACAATGGACAGTGCCGTACAGTTGTCCTTCGACCGTCATAACCGACCGAGGACAACAATTTGAGTCCGAATTATTATTCTCACCGACCCGGCTGCTTGGTACAGAACGCTTACTCACAACCGCCTACCACCTATCATCCCGTGGCTTAGTTGAACGGTTTCATCGCCGACTTAAAAGTGCTCTTCGGGCACACGAAAACGACAGTTGGTACGAAACCTTGCCGCTCGACCTCTTAGGTATCAGAACGAACACTGCCTCCGGTGTCAACTCGTATGCATCATCGACAGGTCACTCTCCCTCGAGAGTTATCTATCTGTTCACATGTTTTCATTCGAGTAGATTCGGTACACTAACCCTTGCAACAGCCTTACGAAGGACCTTTTCATGTGGCTTCTCGTCACGAGTAATCCTTCAGGGTTGATCGACATGGCCGCGTCGAGATCGTCAGCATCGATCGTCTCAAACCAGCACACGTCGATGACAGTGCCCTACTTGATAACTTTAGACCCAATGCTAAACCTATCAAACCTATTGGCGGGATCCTTACATCTGCTTCAGATCCCATACTAGATACATCAGAGATCCCATTCTCACGACCAGGTCAACAGCACGTGTCGTCTGCGCCATCTACGGAAGACAATTCATTCTTACGTTCAGATCAGCAGATCACGCCATCCTTGACGTTCGATGAGATTGCAGGCTCACGAAGTATGAACGAAACTACCGTCTAACGTTCTGGTCGCCGAGTATTCTTATCCGTACGCTTTTGCGACTAACCGTACAATGAACAACGGATACGGTGTAGAACTATTCCTATACCACATGCATGCTACACTTTTTCTCTTTTCTTTTGATTTTCTTTTTTTGTACCCTTGGCCCACGCCTTCGACCATTAACCGTTTGGCACCGTCGACTTCAGTCAACCTTGGCGGAAGGTGGTTTGGCCACCTACGCTCTTGTCTACGCACTCAGTCGATGTTCTGGTTTCGAATTTGCCTGGCGTATATTTGGTTTCGCACCTGGTTTTAATGGTCGCTTCTGGTTCTTTGACTCAGCGTAGTTCCGTCCTACGTCTGCAGCGTTTCTAGTCCGAACCCTTACGAACATAATCTTAAAACCTTGGATATACACCACTTTGCTGTGGTATGCCAACTCGAGCAACAAATACAGCACGCTTCTCCTGGTACCTTTCTACGTAAAAGAACTTCGTTGGCAACTCGGGGATCAACGATCATTTTCTGTTCCGCCAATCATCTCGTCCTACAATCGCACGTTTACCGATCAGTCCCACGAACCAAACCGCTACATATCGAAAAGGTAAATCCTTTCTAGCGGGGGCTCCTGTAGTGATCTACTTTTATCAAGAGAACGCGATTGGTTTAATGGAAACAATTATTTTTATGAAAATTTTGTTTTTGTAAAAGTACTAATTCCATGAGGAGATATGAACACAGTTAACAAAAAGGTTATAATACTAGATTACGTAATATGAATAATAACAATAGATTAAGTGAATATAATAAGATAATATAATCGTTACTTTGACCTTAATTATTTTGATTATCTTATTATTATTATTGCATTCCCCCTTTACTTATGCCTTATATTCTCATTGTTTTATTCATGAACGCTCATCATATCACTTTATTTTTTACACCTTCATGACCTTTGATTATTATAACAAAAACATTTTAATCATCTTATTATATTCAGTAAATCTATTGTTACTATTCATATTACGTAATCTAGTATTATAACCTTTTTGTTAATTATTATCATAACCATTTGTACCAGAGATTGCTTTACTGTACTTGTTTGTTTGACTGTACCAAAGACATCCATTATTTTTCCATTCTTCCTTCCGTTGGTTGTGACCTTGCGCGAACTTACGTTTGCTCAGTGAATCCGTTTGTACTCCTTTGGCACGATCTCGGTATTCTTTCGATACCACGAGATCGTCAACAAATATATACCGGTACAAACTGCAATCGCCTTCTGATATCTGGTACGCAACCTTCTTGTAATGGTGATCATAGTCAACCGCAACTCGATGCTGCCTTACACTTCCACCATTGCTGCCACCAGACGGTTACTTAAAGGTTCAATGAGTTAGTCTTCTTTGGAAATTGGTGTGATGCATGAAAAATTCCAAGTGTCAATAACTTCACAATAGCTTAACGATTGTGAGGATATGACACAAGATTAAAGTCTTCTTTCCCAACATTGCAGTGTTGTTCATGTTTGATTCAGGGGATGTATTTTTGTTTAGATGCTGCAACTGTTGATACGCGAAACCAGTGTATAGGTTTACTTCTTAGACTCCTCTTGCTTTTCAGGTGAAATGACTGTCGGTTTAGGTTGTACATGACAGTTAAAATGTCTAAAAATACCGTCTCGACAGAAGCTCTGCGGCATCGTTACCATTATTTGTCTGACCATTAGGACTAATAACCGAGAAATCCAGATTTCAGCTTGTCGAAGACAGGCTGCATGAGGAAATAAGCTTTTTTAATTGGAGAAAATTTGTCAGTTATCTCGTCGTGATACTGATGCCTATCTTTCTTCAGTGTCTTTGTGCATTGGTCTCTTGCTACCTACATATGCTGTCGCCACTATTTAGATTTTGAAATTTATGCTTTCATATGAATAGATTTAAAAATTTCAAATGGTCGTGAACGGAATAGAAGAACCTTTCGAATAACGAGCCTAAGGGTCGAGTAGCAGTGGATCACCAATACCTCCAGGCAGGAAAATAGGTATATTAAAGATAGTAGAGGAAAGAAATTGGTAAATCATAGTAAGATATTATCCTTAGTCCTTAAGAATAGGTCAAGTTTGCTCTTAAAGTAATCCTGGGAAGTCGATTTGACTAGTTCAGTCGGCAGCGAATTCTAGCATTTGACAACTCTCAAAGAGTAGAAGTTGTGTCTACAGTTCGTTCTGCTATGTTGTGTTTCCGGTTTCTGAGTGTTACCTCTTAGGTTAGTGTTGGAGCTAAACTTATGTAGGTGTTTAAGGGGATGTCCAGAAGTGTTAAGAATACTGTAAGCCCTTAAGTTGCTTGTACCCTCTTGGATCTGTTTATGAAGTGGACCGGTTTGTAGCACTTAAGATTGTATGCAGTTACAAATCTCGACGAGCGTTTAAACCCGTTAGAGAGTAGGCTTTACAGTTACAGCTCAGTTTTTAATACCATTTCCTAAGAAAGGTTAGACTTTCACTTTGCCAAAATCCTCAAGAGTTCTTATCGGCTGTTTGATCTTTAATATTTATTGCTGTAGATCGAAGACTAAGTTCAACTGGGTATTGAAATTTGTATATCTAACCTTCGACGAAGTCAAATGTAGAGTTACACAATTGTTTCATCGCTCGTCTTATGTTGTGTAGTTCATGGAATCAGTTAATTTTAAGCCGCTGTACGGAACAGAAACACGAACTAAAGCGGTAGAATGCATTTTAGAGCCACTGTTCACAAAAGTGAAGTGTTTTGCAAGGAGAGGTCACATGAAAGGTTCCTACCGTCTTAAGTCAAAGCCACAGGAAAATATTTTGTCTAGTGTCAAAGAGGTAATATTTCGTCCTTATTATTCATTACAATCCGCAGGTTGTTCAATTGCTTAGTGACGATTTCAGTGTTGTCCAGAGTGTTCCCTCACTATCGTCAGATTTTCTAACCGCTAAAACAGATGTTATTGATACTGGGCAGTATTTTTATTCTTCAGTTTCCAGTTTTTTGTCTGACCCTGCAAATGAATCCCATCAAAGTGGTGTTTGTCGAGCTATCAATGCCTTTTTGGCTGCTTTAAGCAGACTACTTATACTAGCTGATATAGCAGACTCATTGGTTCTTAACCAGCAGTTCGAGGCCGTCCTCAGTGGTATTACGGAATTCCAGTCAGTCTCATCACACGCGGTATGTTTTATGTAGTGTTTGGTTGCTCGACCAATTATTCCGTCCATTGGATTCAAAACCACTTCATCTTAAGGGCCATGTTCATGTAGCTTTTATGTCGTTTGATGTTCCCCTTGTAATCTATCATTACTTCTACCGTATACTAGAAATTCTGAAAGGCTTCTTGGTGAAAATGTCCTAGCTTTGTTAACCCTTAGATTTTAGAACAAGAGACCCGGTGTTTCGGTGTAAAGATTTAAGTAAACAAATTGAGAGTAGAGATAAAAATCTGGAAACATCGACTCCCAGCTTCTAAGCGAGGTCATAACATCAAGACTTTTGGGAAATTAAATAGCCCCCTAGCCTTTTATGCGCTTTTGGTCTCACTCACAAAGTATTTATGTTTATAGACTGGTACGAAGCTCCTCATTCTCCTGTTTTCAGAAGGGTTAATGTTATGGATAACAACATATTTCTTGTGCGTTACACCTTTTGTATGGGTCCACAAGTTCATCTAAGCTGATTGTAGATGCTAACGATGTGATTGTTTTTAAGGTGTAGTCGGAGGAGTTGGGGTCATAGACTTCTTCGTGGATCTGATTAAAGGATTCGTATTGACCATGCGCACCTGGGTATGTGTCTGGAAATCTGAAGGTACAAATGATTAAGACCGGTTACATACAACCTTTGTGTAAGTGGCTTTCTTATAGCTAACTCCATACTTTACGATCCTTACTGTTAGCGCCGAAGAATCATAGAAATTGGGAGGAAATGCTCTTTAAGAGTTAGGGTTTTATAACACTTTCGCTAAGAACTAGCGCCGTTAAAAACGGTTGGTTGGTGAGGCTACTTCTTTATACCTTCCCATACATGCTAAAGTCAAATCACATCATTTATATATATATATATATATATATATATATATATATATATATATATATATATATATATATATATTGTTTCTTTCTTAGGAACTGAGTCGTTTGTGGAATACCTTTTACCCTCATGTATTACAACTTATCAGCTTGTCAAAGAAACGTGCATCTGATCTAATTGATCTTGAAGACCGTAGAAAAATTGAGTCTGCCAACTACGTGCTTAAAAATAATACACCTTTATTACATACATCTTGTAAGGTAAGTTCAATCTATGATAGAAATAATGTATTTGTAAAGCTTAAATGGACATAAAAATACGTGCCCGGTGTTTCTCAACATCATCGTCATGGAAACCGCTCTTTAGCAGGACAGAGAATGTTAAAAGTTTTTTCGCTCATTGTTATATTACAAATATGTCGTTCCTATTATACAAAACCATCGAACACTGAATTTATTTGAAACTCATATTAAGTCTTGGTATGGGTATTTGCTAGGCCAGGTTTGTTAGTTATACAGGTGAAGGAATTCACTTATTTACATAACTGCATAAGTATACACAAAGTTTAGATTTAGTAGTCCAGTAAGATTTTGAGACACTAGTTATAAAATTACATTCAAAATAATAGCTTAGTGTTGTGAATGTTTTCGCTAGCGATTTCGTCAGGCCCACATGACTTCAATCCTCCCATTTAACCTCTTCACCAACTTATTGATGTGTGTCAACTATCACTTGGTTTAAAGGAGGCCAAAATATGACATTATTTAATGAAATCACTGTCTGTTAGTTTTTTCCGTGTTATTACGGTTATACTAGTGGTGGGATAACTGACTTGGTAGTTGGAAACATTGACTAAAAAGGCTCAGAACCAGTCAACCTTATGTAAATGCATCCACTCCTTATGTCCTCCTAGATTCTTAAATCCAAAATTATACTTTTTGTTTATCGAACTCATTCCTTCTTCTCGAAGGACATTCTCTATGTATGTTTTTACAGTAGACTAGATACGATACCAAGTTGACTTGGTATGAAAACTCAATAAGTGGCTTACTAAGTGCCTAGGCAGTTCTGTCAAATATTCAGATACCGGAAGTGCCTATTGTGCGTCTCACTACACTTAACAGGCGTTGTCAAGTGAGTAACCAAACTTGATCATTTTCGGCTTCTTTACTTCAGCTCAGAGTTTTCTTAAATTTCAATTTACAATACAAGAAACCTTTTGATCAATGAAAAAACTTACTTTTTTTTCCAAATTTAGGTGTGTTTACGCTATCCTGATAATCTCATTCCAAGAGATTCAAGAACTTTTGTTTCGAATTCTCTTTCGGATGCAGTGGAGTTAATTCAATCAGTCTTTAATGGGATTTCCAAATCCAATGGTATCCGGTTACGAACTTCTGGAAAACTTTTAGAAGCTTTAGATGAGTTTGAAGTAATACATTATGTGGTAATGAACTAAACTTATTAGAAGAGAAATAAAGACATTTCAATGAAGAACTTCAACAAAAATATTATTGATATGAGAGATTAAATTGTAATTTAATAGTTAAATTCATGAGTCGACTTAAGCTAGACAACCATTGAAAACCTGAAAGCACTGGATGGCCATTTTGTCCTAGTATAGATCTCCTCAGAAGTGAAAACCCACGATCTTGCACGCGGGATTCGAACTCAGGACTTTCGGTCTCGCGCGTGAACACTTAACTTCTGGACCATTGGGCAGAAATCTAACGGTGTTAATATCTAACTTCAACCGACCCATGATATTGCGCGACCGTCCACCATTGTCTTCAGTGAGTTACTGCCTCGCAACAGACATGGTTGGACTCCATTGCTCACAGCTTCTCACTAAAACTCCTGGAAATACATCCTCCAGGTTATTAGTGGTGGTCTAGCCTAAATTAACTCATGAATTCAACTATTAACTTACTACAATCTCCACAAACCCCATTCTGAAAATTGAACTGTCTTTATTTTTCTTCAAATGACAATTTTTTTTGTATTATAAGTAGTTTATTCTGGTTTTAGAGAATGGCTTCCCTTCCCATGTTAAATAACCATTCATTCTTACGTTGGATATCTTTTCAATTACTTCTTAGTTTCAAAAACTGTTGATAAGTTCGTATTCATAATCATTTGTAAGAGGAGGTTTTTGCGTTTTAATTAGACGAAATATTGACCGTCAAAATCAATGTGTAAAGTACTAATCGATCGATAAATTCAGTAATATAGTGTAAGCGAGTAATAGCTACTCATGAGACCGCATACTTGACTCAGACCCTCAAATGAATAGAAGCCAAAGAAAGGACCAATAGCCATATGAATAGTTTTTTTTGTGCAATACGATAAATGCTTATATAAAGAGCATGAAAATAAAATAATTATAACAATATACCATAAGCGATTTCAGGAAATTAGCTTGTAAATCATTCTCTAATCAATTGCGATCTGATTGTCGGGCGTAATCTCTGAGCTTCGTATCAGTTTCCAACCATTTAGGTTAGTAGGTATCATTACCAAGGTTTGATTTGATAATTTTGAATAACTTGAGCATTGGGTAGATTGTTATAAATAAATAATATATTTGTAATATCCCAATGAGTAAAAAAATTAGATTTTCTGACGTTTCGTGACTTAGTGTAAGTCACTTCCGCAGAGAATAAATAACCAAATTAAAATTAATCCAAGTTTAATTAGTACAACAGAACAATCATTTTTCCGTTGCACTATTTAAACTTGGATTAATTTTAATTTGGTTATTTATTCTCTACGGAAGTGACTTACACTAAGTCACGAAACGTCATTGGGATATTACAAATATATTATTTATTTACATTTAGGTTAGTATTAACATATCTAAAGATGTAATTCATTTATCGAATACGAGTTTGCCTATCCGACTTTAAGCTACATTCCATTTTGATTTAAGTCGTAATAAATTCATATCATGAAATTCCTTACAAATAATACCTAAACTTAGTCTACATTAAAATATGTGAGTTTAATAAACCGAGCCTATATTCTAGTTTTTACATATATTTTTTATTGTATTAGGGAAATTATGGTAACGAATGCTTTACCTTGTTCGTAATTAGTTTAGCACCACAGTTTCTCAGTCTTAGAACACTATTTTTTAGTGTACAAAATTTAATACTGATAACTCACTCATTGATGAATAGAACCATTCGAACCCGTGATACAATAAGTGATCATGTATTTACATCACTAAATCATAGCTTCATTTGAGACATGATTGGTGAAAAATATCGAATCGATTAATATGAAGATGAATAAAAATAAACATACAATAGTCCAAATGCTAGTGGTTTTTAAGAAAGATAAATATAGTGATAAATTGCCAGTTTTATGCAGCCAACGTAGAACATAGACTTTAGCTGCTATCTTGACGTGGTGGTCGGGCTTGCCTATCGTGGTGACCCAACCGAGTAATTTTATCTCGAACACATGTTCCTTTAGGTTCTATCATCCTAACAAGATCGGTTGGAAAACGGTAAGCAACTTTAGACCTGAGCGTGGAGTCATACCTCTGATTGTAGAGGGGTGTGATAGCATTAAGGCGTTTCAATTACGGCGAGCTGTCGTCGGAATTGGTTACTTCAAGTGGTTGTCCGCTTTCCTCGTTTTTATTTAACTTTGTCATGGACATGCTTTTAGAGATAACACTTTCATCGTCTGACTTCTCAGGGATTAACCTTCCAGCAGATTCACTTATTGACTTAAAATACACGGACGATATAGTTCTGTTTGATGAGGACGCTAACAAAACGCAGTCCTCTGACCACTTTAAGCAACAATGCAAGTATGTTTGGGATGCGGCTATCTCCCTCGAAATGCAAGACTTTGTTTCAGGATTGGCGTGTTCCGTTGTCTGATTTAATAATAGGTAGTGAACGCATCGACCGCTTTACTTATCTTGAGGGTCTGGTCAGTACCGATGGTTTGGTGCCTGACGAAACCTCGGCACCGATCCAGAAGGCTCGATTGGTTTTCACTAACTTACATCACTTGTGGAGTAGGCGAGATATCCGTCTGCCAACCAAAGGGTGAGTTCAGTATGTAGCAGTTTGTTTCGTTCAACTTTATTGGTTTGAACATGGCCATTAAGAACAGAGAATATCCGTAGGTTAATGGTATTCGAAGCATTGGTCGTGTATTTTGGGACCAGTGCCTGGGTTGAGAATAGATTACTAGGTAAAGCTGGGAAATCGACTGAAGATGTAGCAAATCTTTGTGAACCGAGGTGGTTCGGATATGTGTTACTTATGCCCAACTATACTGCCTATCTTGACGGGTGATATTTTCTGGTGTAAGCGTGTGCTGCAACAAAGCTACGGACGACCAAACCAAAACATGGCATCAGTTCATGAAGTCACTGACAATAGGATTTAGCCATGTTCATAGGTGTAGACTATTTGGTTGGGGTCCGCGTGATTATCGTAACCAGTGATTAGAGACTTTGATATGGCTCAAAATCGTTTGCAATGACGCACATGCATTCATTATTTGTCTTCCCCCAATTTCCGAGATCCTAAATTCTTCATATTTTTTTCGTTTTCATTTCACTAATTCATATTTTCTTTTCGAATAGTATTTTCGATGAATAATCTTTCCTTTTAACAATGATACTGTTACTACTTCTACTATTTTAAGATTTGGCCTGATAACTTCATTTTTCTGAGTGTGGCAACTTGAACCGATGTACATACGTACCGATTGAGCATACAAAATAAATATAATACATTCCAGCAACAGGTTTGAAACATCGTTTTTTTCTGCCCGGCAAATCGTATCACTTCTAGAGTTATAATCTATCATCCTGTTTACTACTATTTAATAATCAAATCCAATGTTACGTAATTTATAAAAACTTCAACCTATTCTTTTTGTCTAGAGACTAAACAAGTGAATATATGAGGTCCTATTGGGTTTTCTATCACTTATGGCTATAATGAATCAATTTTTCTGTTTGATTAAGACACTTATTTATCTCGATTCTAGTTCTGTTTGTTTATTTTTTTAGAAGAAAAGTTTCATAAAATAAATCATCACCATTATTTATGTTTTTTCAGAATAGTCTATTTACTAATCCGGATCAGAAATCGACTGTACACATACAAGAGCATATTCAGTTTTCGTTGAAGGGACTATTATCATCAGTTTATAAGTTGGTGGATTCATCGAAATTAAATTCAAAACGACGTTCTGCTATTGATGAGTATTGTACTCAGCTTAAAAATATTACATCTGAATTAATATCAGAATATTCTAAGAAAGTAAGTATTAGTTGTTAAATCAACCTTTAATAATTGTGTTCGATACAGAGTGTAAACATCCACAGAATATCAGTCGTACTTATTTTAAAAGTTAAAATAGTCAGTTATTATAAATGTAGAATCGGACAAGAATTCGTGTCGATTTATGTCGTCACAACTCATATCAGTGCTGTGATAGACATAATAAACACGATGGGAAGCAGATAAGAGAAATTCATTTAAACTATAATGAAAACCTTAACATGATTAATACGGTTGCAAAAGGAAAAAAATTGACCAAAGGATGAAAAGTTGGGAAATTACAATTTGAAGGACTATAAAAAAATGTTAAGGAATCATTAAGGTCAATCGTATGATCCATACAATCTGTTGAGAAAAATAGCTAGTCATGATTTGACTTCGTGTTAAATAACACAATATCTGTTTGTTTTGGTGAGATTATCCATTTACCGGATTTAATAAGCTGGAAGAAAATGAGGGCCATCCAAACCAATATGTCATATCACTTCATGGAGTAATTGGCTGTTGAACGAAGCTGTGTAGACAGGTACAGACTACTTAGATTCTAATCCATGCGATTGTCGTAATTAATGTTTCAAGATGTTTGGATGCCTGAGAATTGGTCACAGCTTCACAGATGCGTTCACCCTCGTGCTAAAGTACTTATTTTCAAACAATACAGAATTAAAGGTTACTACAAAATAACTAACATCCTTCAAAATGCTTTAGTTCACATAAAGGAAAAAATCCCCTTTATGTCAACATAGAATTGTGTCTACAAATTAAAATGTGTCGATTTTGATGCCTTCTATATTGAACATTCATCTCGTGAAATGTTGACTCGAGCCAAAGAACACCCTATTTACACAAGAACCCACCTAATAATCCTTTAGAACTTGAAAAACTCCAAATTAAATCGGCAATAACAGTCCGTGCCATTTTCAGCAACCATCAAGTCGATATTAAAAATATCAAAACAATGCTAAAAGACTTTTCCAACTACAAAGACAGGGGATCAGCTGAAGCTTCCCATATATTGTTTAATCCTAATGCCCTCAATAGTAAAGAAGGCCTGATTACCTATCCAACTTGGATCATCTATCCGAGCTACTATATTTGATTCTATTCACATCTCACACCATCATCACAAATATAAAGTCAACTTTATCTTTTCGCATTACAAATATCATATTTTTCACATTGATTAACATACATACAAATGCATAAGTATATCTCATAGAAATCACTTAGATGAAAGTGAGATGACATTGACTTGATCAGACCTGTTTTTGATTGATTGATTGCACTAAATACTCTTGTTTTACTCCTTTGTACCATTTAAACTTGGATTAATTTGATTTGTTTATTTATTCTTTGGAGTGTTAAAAACTTTAATTTTTCTTCTCATTAGGATATTACAAATATATTAATTTTGATTAGTAAAATACTTACAGTTTTTCTTCGAATTTATTCTTTTCGAATCGTATTGTCTATTTATATTGTGTATGCTTGATTTTTTTTTCTCCTTCTACTGATCATATTACTACTTCTACTACTTTAATATTTATCTTGTTAATTTAATCTTTTCTATGCTGATATCCTATGGCAACTTGAATCAATGCAGTTATGTCTCAAATTATATGTTGCTTATGTTTGTGACTGAATATATGTACGAGAAGAAAAAAAGAGGTTTACTTCTGTTTAGCTTACTTTAAGTAGATTAATAAAATTTATAGTCTTTTACTTCATTTTTTTTTGGTAAAGTTTACAATTATCTCAAAATATATATCCAACACCTATTAAAACTGAGTTATTAATATCAAGAGGCTTTACTTGTATGTTCTGTACGAATGGAAATTCAGTTACGAATAGCCTATTGTTTTTCTTCTTGGTAGTGATAATCTAGTTTGAATTGTAACAAGTAGCAAAGACGACTGTATTTAGAAACAATTTAAATCATTGTAATTAATCTTTTCTCTAAGTATTTTGTATCTAAGTTATGCAGTTTTATTTGCTCACTAGTAATTAGTTTGAGGATAAATTTATACAATTTTTATTAGGAAGCTAATAACCTGTGTAATCAGATTAATTGTAAGTGTAGTAGTAACTCTTTTATGATTTTAAATTAGTATCATACTATACACATTGTAAGTTAACCAAAAGTAATCATGTCTATCATGTAATTCCTAATCAGTTGTCAAATTTAATCATACATACTCTACATGAAATATTTATTCAATCTTCTATGTGGTTTTAAATGCATATTACTAAAGGGATACTCTTAAAACTAGAATAAAACAGATATCCTCCAATACTTCATATTTTTCAATAATTCTACTGTTGGTCTCAACTCACAATGAAATTCGACTTTTCTTCTATTTCTACTCACTTTTCAATTGTTTCTACAGTTGTATATAAGATTAGCAGTAGGTAGTCGTAAATTCCCACATATTACATAGTTTATAGATAATCGTTTGGAATTCGTAAGTTTTCATGTTAGTTGACACTCATCAGAAATATTGAATTCTTATATATTTTGGACCAGTATCTTTCGTGTAACATCAAATGAATTACATCGATATTCTAAGTCATTTTGTATAGTGTTATTAAATTGCAAATTGGTCCATAGAATTTAATTAATATTACAAGAACTAGATAAAATGATATTCATCCCTATTCAGTTTGTTTGTAAACTTCACAGTCAAAATTGAAGCTCAACACCACTAAGAATGAAATTCAAAATTGTCCCGGTCAAGATTTGACATCAATTGATAAACTCAATTAGTATTTTACCTTAAGTCTTGTAAGGCAATCCATGCTACCTGGTTTAGCGTTCAAACAATAATTAATAATCACCCTCCTTTAAGGCTTGATGTGATATACTTTAACATTGCTCTTGATATCCTAAATTTATTCCTTATATTCTGTTAGATCTTTTTTATGTACCTTATCCTTGTCGTTTATTCCTTCTTTTGAAGCTGTACTCTCCACATCTAATGTTTACCGATGTAGAATGTAAAGCAATTTTGAATCAATGGAAATCTGTGCCAGATGATCTTACACTTTTTATGACTAACAAAAACTACTAATAATGTAGAATATTTAAAGTTCAGGATCAGAATTTTGAAAAGTGTTTTATTTTCTGAGTTGAATGGTTTATTCGTACAGTTTTCATTGTTTTTTTATTAAGTGCATACTTTAGCTGATGATGTTTAAACAGACAATGAGAACTATACAAATTATTCGTATTAAAGTGTTTGGTAATTGGAAGACAATGAAAACTGCCTGAATGAACCAATTAGTTCAATGAAAATATCTTTGATAAAACAATTATGTAATATAATACATCTAGTGATATTTTTATGGCATCGCATTAAAGCTTTAAAATGCCCTAGTACGGCTGGCCCCCAAATACCCTGGTACGGCCGAGAGTGTGGAGAGTCAGCTCTCCCTCTCGAAATACTCTCACTTAGCCACGCGTATATAGCCTCTGCCAGGGAAGTCTTACTCACTGCCTTCTCGTGGCGGGGGTGTTGTTTACGAAATTGAGAGGACGAAAAGCGAATGTCCGGCGCTTTAACCGGATTCCGAACCAATGGTGCACATGGGCTCCAGTATCCTGCGGGAACAAATGACGTATGAACTAATTGTTGGTCACCGACTTCCATGGGACTGCACCTCCTTACGATGCTTCACTGCCTTGTGGATCAGACCTTCAGGTCGAAGGCCCGGGGAGTGACCCCTTAAGAAAACCACATGGTTTGGGCACCTGGGCAGTATCACAGCCCTCACACATATCGAATGAGATTTGTGTGGCGCATATGTATTTAGTGCCTCCTTGTACCAATATCTATGTGTTAAAATAATAATAATAATAATAATAATAATAATAATAATAATAATAATTTAAAATGTACTTTTATGTAGGTCGAGATTTGTTTTTCATTTCTCATTATTATTATTATTACCATTATTAATCAATTAATTAATTATTACTTATTTATTTAGACAGTTGACGTTAGAGCAACAGAGAAAATTATACAGAAATTATTAAAAATTATCAATTCATTGAAACAACTACTTATTCGTTGTGCTATTGATTCAACATCAAATGCTTTTATGGCTAAAGAAACTTGTTTAATGGCATTGAATGATGCAACAAAATTTGGATGTGATCAACGCATTGATGCAGCTTGTCAATTATTTCAGGTGATAATTTAAAATTTATTGTAATTATTTTTCAAGTAATTAATATTAAATTATTCATTTGTAATTTATCATAATGTAATTGACTTTTTACTATTTGATATTTTATCTTGTGTTGCTGAATCGATACCTATGTAGTAGTTAAAATATTCTGTTTTCATTTGGTAAGTCATACATTCAAACTATGCTAACTAATCACGTACTTCAATTCGTTCACTCACATGGCCACATGCATACAACCACTGCTAGGGAAGTCCTACTCATTGCCTTCTCGCTGCAGGATGTTGTTTCCGAAATTGAAAGGACAAGGGCGAATGTCGGGTGCTTTAACCGGGTTGGTGAATATAAATGATCAACCTAGGGGAGTTAGAAAACCCTGATTCCAAACCAGTGATGCACATGGACTCCAGGATCCTGAAGGAACAAATGGCGTATGAACCAATCTTTGGTCACCGGTTACCATGAGACTGCATCTCCTGACGTTGCTTACTACCTTGTGGATCAAACCTTTAGGTCGAAGGCTCCGGGTGTGGTCTCCTAAGAAAACCACCTGTTTCGGTTTGGGCACCTGGGCAGTATCTCAGCCCTCATACAAATCGAATGATTTATGTGGCGCATATGTATTTGGTGCCTCCTTGCACCAATGTTTATGTGTTTAAATAAATAAATAATCATTCAGATAGAGTATAAGAGGTCTTGTACATACAATGATACTCAAAACTGTACTTAATTACATTATATCTAGTGAGTATTGTATTGTTTATACTTGGTTTTGCAAAAATTAAAATGTTGTTAACAAAGTTGTTTGAAGAGATGTGATTATTAGTAGTACTGGTTTTGTCGACAATACAGTAATGACTTAATTAATGGTGATTAAAGCAATCGGTTCTTAATTAATAAGTTATAGGTTCAAATTCCCAGTCCATCTACTTTGAACTGAACAATTACTATTGATGTAAAGTATAACTCGAGGTCGTATATACAAATATGTACAGAGTTACTGAGTTATCTAAAAAAGTTTTCAGAGGAAAAGAATGGTAAATATTGCTTAAAAGGTCACCTTTACAACTATAAAGTAAATAGTTGAGTGTTACACAAACAGCATACTCTCCCTTCAATAGAAAAAAATTGATATTTTGCCCACACCATAATTGAGTACACGTTGGTAATGGTCAGATGGATTTTTTTGAATTCGTGTCAATATTTTGCTAGTCATCAACTCACTAAAAATACCAAATCTCTTTCCATCATCATACTATTCCCACCATTAAATTAAATGTGTCAAGGACAATCTTTCAACTTTTCTTTTCGGAGTAGGAAATGTAAACTAGAAAAGTATATATAACCAAATTATCATATTTCATATCTCCTATTTTTATTGTTTGTTTAAACATATGAATATGATTGTGCCAACTGCTGAAAACTTGTTTTTTCAAATTATCCGATGATCAATTATTGCCAATGTTTGAATGTTAAAAATAACTAATAATTAACTAGAATTAGTGTAACTTATCTACTTAGTACCGATTTATGTACACTGAACTTTGAGTTGTTGTACAGTTTGTATTGTTTCTGACAGTGTTGTCATACTACTACTTACTACTTCTGTGTCGACAGATATAAGTAGCATGTAACACCAATGGAAAGGGGAAAACCGGGTAGAGGAAGACTAAGACGATCGGTTTGAAGAGAATAGAATGGAAAATCGAGATGAATTGTGAGCTTGAAGAATCATAGGGAATGTCATGGGCAAGTGATGGAGATTTGCAAGTGAACTATTCGGTGTATGACTTTTATATTTTACCAATATGCTCTCATTTTGTATTAAAATGTATTGGTTGTCCGCACCTGTGTTTCCAACACTATTACTACTCTGCTCTTATCCTTCTCTCAAAAATGACGTAATTAGAACGATGAAATTCCATTCTACAGCTTATAATTCTTTAATACTTCATGAAACATTAAAGAAATTCTAAATTTTTCATCTTAACTTTTAGTTTATTCCTTTATACGTTATTTTTTTCTACATTCAGAAACGTTCTGTTTCTATGATATCATCTGCTTATCAGTTATGTTCATTGAGTACAGATGAAGAATGTTGCAGCAAAATCCAATTAGCTTGTCAACAAATTGAACAACTTGTTCCACAATTAATTAATATAGCTTATTTACTATTTAAATATCCATCTTCTAAGGTAATTTGTATAATTTTACTCATTTGTCAATATTTTTTTAAAATAAAAGATTGTAATTATTAGCGTAACATAGATTAGATTAGAGCATATTCCGCGAAGGATTTTGTCGAGGCACTCTGATTGACTGCTCCTTAACCAATCAGCGCTAGCGGATACTTGGAGAAGACTTTAGAATCTTCTTATGTAAAAATTACCATGATTCCTTATTTAGAATATAATTACGTTGCTGTTCAACCGTGTTCTGATTTGGGGACTTGTCGAGTAAAGTGAAGTGTCCAAAAAATACTCAGCAATAATAGTAGCTAAGTGGTAATACGCGAGATCATAAAAGTAATGTAGATTAAAGCTAAATTGATTATAATTATTTAGAATTAATAAATTATTAGTCTGTTAATGGATGAGTCCACTGTTCTGTTCATTAACTATGCTAATGTTGATTGATCCACACCATTTCTTGTCCAATTAGAACATGAAAAAAGACAGCTAATATATTCTGTTTATATTATGGCTTAAAATTCACATGATGATAATAGAAATGAATTACAGAATCAAATGTACATTACAATCAATTTGTAGTAAAATACTGAGTAATAAATATTTAATTAATTTACTGTAATTTATTGAACGGTAAGAGATAATATCAACAGTTATTGAGTTAAATGAAAGCGAAACAGTTAGAGCAATATAAAAATACTGTAAACCAAATATTTACTAAATGCATAGTGGAAAAAATGTGTAGAATCATAATAATAATTCACCGAAGAAAAGTTCTCAAAATTTCACCTTCATTCACTTATGTCTAACTAGTGAGATTAATGTGTATCATTAGTTCATCATCTAGTAATTGGTATATCACAAAATAAAAAACGTGGATTACGTAATAAACCTGTGATCAGTTACTACTTTTTTATTTATCAAAAATAGTTATTTATTATGCTCAGGTTAATTTGATCTCAAATTTTACCAGTAACATTTTTGTTCATTTTTATATTTTAAATCGAGGTCATGAAATGATCAATGTAAGACCACCATTGAAAACCTGGATGCACTGGGTGGTCGTTTCGTCCTAGTTCGGGACTCCTCAGAAGCCTAGTCCTTCCAGGTTTTCAATGGTGGCCCAATATTGATCAGTTCATGATCTCAATTAAAATTTAACAATCTTCACAACCCTATACATTTTTATATTTGTTTTCTTGTTTGTTTTAGTCTGTTGAATTAAATTATGAAGCATTTCGTAAGGTATATGAAGAATCGGTCAATTTACTGTATTCATGTGTTAATGAGTTAGTTGGTATGCATGATTTCTTAGCTGTATCCGATGATTTAATGTTGTTGGAATATCAAAAATCTATTCGTGCTTTATCGGTATGTAGTTTTACTTCTGTTTATATTTTCATTTTCCTTTAAAAAAGCTGTTGCTGTACGTATTTAATTTTAAATTGTCGGATTATTGATAGTTATTTGAGTAGAAATATGGATTAAGATCTCAAAAAGAAACTGATTTTTTGACTTTGTCCGCTACCACTCAATGGTTTGTCTGTCTTGATGGTTCAATCTCGTTATATGTTAGCCAAAATATTCATTCTTTAAGGTCCCATCATATTAGGCAGACAGATGTAGTTAGATACCGTAAGAAGATTCTATTGTTGGGTGTACCGGGTTGTATGGTGGAAGTAATGGGTTTCCTGTTAAAAAGCAGTATAGCCGGAGGTACTTCCCTACCCTATTACTTGAGAAGAGATTGGACGAGATCAATCTGAAAAATAACATCCTTTTTTGGATCACGGTATAGACGGTTAGGCTTGAAAAGTACAGAGCTTGTTGGAAAAATAAAAAATACTAACAAATGTGACTCTTGCTACTGGGCTCAAGGAGTTATCTTTTGATTCTTATTGTGGTTGTACTTTCAATTCAATAAGATCTTTAATACTAATCCAGATTTTTTAAACGAGTTTCTTAAAACAAAGTATTCTTTCACGAATGTAAATGACAACTGATGGAAGATGTGCAAATTAAGTATTTAATGCATGGTTTTCGTAATTTACGGAGACACTGTAGTTTTGCACTAACTGATAAATTGATTTTCTTCATCTGTGTTCGTTCACTGCATATATCCTTATATGTACATTCAGTGGATCCGGGAAATTTTTCATTTAGTCTCTGAATAGTTTATTATCGGCAATGGAAATGAATTCTCATCCAACTGATTGGTTTGTAATGATTTATCTAGCATAAACTGACACCATTTGAAAATTAGTTTCATCACGCTCTGCTAACGTAGTATAGCAATTTAGGCTGATATAAATTTGTACTATGTTCTACTTTACTTACGTCTGACTGAACGACACATCTGATGAATCATTGAAAAAATATAAACCACTGAACACCTGTTTCCTATTTTAAAACTTTGTCCCAGTGTACACTTATCAATCCATACTGTTTCAAACACAAAACCTTTAAATCTCACACTGAGCACGATATCTTTAGAATTCACCTAATCAGTAATCAAGTATTCCATATTTTCTGTTCCAGTCAGTTCATGCCATGAGGACGATGTACCAAGTAAACCGGACAAATACATATGCTGGTAAAAGGCTTCATAGTAGGGATTCTATTTTGAGTGAATGAATTATTCATCTTGTCATGGCACATCTTCCAACGCAATCTTGATTTTGTCTCTCAATGTAATAGGTAGAGGGTGCTGGTCAAACCATAAATAACTGAATTAGATCATAGAACACAACATATAACATGAATTCTAATATTAATACAGTTATTCAATAATGAGTTGAATAATATATGTAGTGTAACTGGTTTACAAATTTGTTCGAGTTTCACATATTCATTGGATAACTCATTCATTAGTTAATCAGATTTGAGTTATTGTATTTGTATGGAAGCTCGTAATATTCGTTGGCTGCTCAAATCGAAGTAGGTGAAGCGAATTTCGAATCTGGAATGTATCGGTTGAATCGCCACGTGTTAATCAATATATATGTATATCATAAATTAGAACGATCATTCTTCTTTAAACTGTGGATTTTTCTCAAGAAAAACTATCCAAATTACTTACATTTTTACCTGTTTTAATGATTTAACTAATCTGAGATAAATCTACAATAGGTTGGCCCAGCTATTTTTTAAAAAGAATTAAACTATATAAACAGTTATTTGTTCAAAATAATCAGTGATTCTTGATCATAACAGTTATCAGTGTTGTTACTTGTTTGTGTGTGTTTGTGTAAAATAACTGAGTTCAGGACATCTCATTAACCTTGCTTCTAATCGAATCAGATGGTAAATCATTTTTATGAGTATTTATGCGATTCCATTATAGAGGTAGGTAATAAAACTTTCACAGCAAGCAATAATTATTTATTCATTATAGTTTGCAGAGTGATAGTTTGTTTGTTACGGTATTCAGTTTTTAACCACCAAGTCTCAAGTTCGAACACCTTTTCACCTACTTCAGTTTAGGCTGAAGGGTAGTATCACCAACCCCTTATACTTAAAATACAACTCTAAGCCAAGTAAGCGAGTCTGCACCTGGTCTGACTGTAGTTTCCCACTTGACTTAATGTTTGATCTCGCATATTATGATAACTCAATAAAAATATTTTGGCTGGAACACTTGTTCTTTGTGGTCCTAACATGTCTCTAAGGTTGAGTAGAGAACGATAAGTCTAAAAGCAATTTGCTCAAGGTACGAGAACAAAGTTTTACTGCTGACTGTAATGGAACGTGGTAACACAAAGGTGTATCTCTTAAGAAACCAAGATCTACAGTGGTGCTGTCTTCTTATGACGAAAAACAACGTGTTAGTGAAAGTTGACGGTGAAAATGATACACCTTTTTTTGCCCACGGATTTCCATCAGTGACAGAGTCTTTCAAAATAAAGAGATAGCACATCATTTATATGAACTTATCTTCAAGTAGTTATCAATTGTGTCCTACACTTAGTCTTTTAGATCTTCAAGGTCATTACTAATCCAATATCCTTTTCATTTACCTCATACAGTAACATTCTTCTATAATATATGAGCAACTGAGAAGTCTCTACCATCCACATGACTTTCACAGGACTATTCTATACATAATAAATAAGTTAAATTATTTTCGATTATAGTTCAAACTCTAATTTGTAATTTTTTCATTGTCATCTTTTTTTTAAAACAAAAACAAACAAACAATTTATAGGATAAAGATGAATTAAGCGTTCAACAAACATCAACATCAATGCAACAACGTTCAGCTTATATTTGTGAAGTAATATTAAATAAAATGATTGCACGAACTGAGAACAATGAGTATGTTGATCAGGTGATGGAAAAAGTTACATTAATACGTGATCAAGTATGTTAAATAATTAGTAGGAGAAAATATTACACTTATATTTGATTGTTAAAATTAGAATTTATTGTTATGGTTATATTTCATTCTGGTATGATTTATTATCAATAGTTCTTGTTTATAATGTTATCAGAGTTTAGAGCTCATGAATTTAGGTATAACGATGAAGTATACTATTGTTAGTTCTTTGAATTAGTATCCAATAGTCTATATTTTCCAATTTCAATCAATTCATAGTATAATACAATAATCATTGATTATCATAATTATGAATAATTGTCTCATTGTTTCGACGTGATTGAACTCGTCTACTCTACTGGTGGACTACATTGAAATCCAATCAATAGAATTCGGTTAACACTAAAGGACTAGATGAACATGACACTAGCCAATATTCAGTGATTAATCAATTGTAAATCTCTCAATCATACAGGGAGTCACTGGCGTCCCGTCAAGCTGATTTGTAACGTCTCCGGCTGTGAAACTGGTTAATTTTAGTTCAAATCCACCGGCGAACTTTAATTCCCTCGAGATTGTAGTTATGCCTTGCTCACTTACACCTATTACTCCTAATGGGGCATAAGCCGCCGACCAGCATTCTCCAACACACTCTGTCCTGGGCCTTCTTTTCTAGTTCCGTCCAATTCTTGTTCATTTTTCTCATGTCTATCTCCATTTCTCGGCGTAATGTGTTCTTTGGTCTTCCTCTTTTCCTTTGACCTTGAGGATTCCATGTGAGGGCTTGCCTTGTGACAAAGTTGGGTACTTTCCTAAATGTGTGTCTTACCAACTTTCAGCACTTTTTCGTGATTTCTTCCTCCGCTGGGATCTGGTTTGTTCTCTACCACAGTACGTTGTTGCTAATAGTGTCCGGCCAACGGATCCGAAGTATTTTGCGTAGACAGTTGTCGATAGACACTTGTATGCTCTGGATGATGGCTTTCATAGTTCTCCAGGTTTCCGCCCCATACAGTAAAACTGTCTGGACATTTGTATTGAAAATCCTGACCTCGGTGTTGGTTGACAGTTGTTTTGAGTTCCAGATGTTCTTCAGTTGTGAATATGCTGCTCTTGCTTTGCCGACCCACGCTTTCACATCTGCATCAGACCCACCATGTTCATCAATGATGGTGCCCAAATATGTAGAGGTTTTTACATCTTCCAAATCTTCTCTGTCAATTGTGATTCGATTGTTGCATATTGTGTTGTATCGGAGAATCTTTCTTTCCCTTTGTTTATGTTGAGACATACTGCTACTGAGGCTACTGCTACACTGTTCGTCTTCTCCTGCATTTGTTGTTGCGTGTGCGATAGAAGAGCCAGATCATCTGCGAAGTTTAGATCGTCCCGCTGCATCCTATATGTCCACTGTATCCCGTGCTTCCCTTCAGATGTCGATATCTTCATGATCCAGTCGATCACCAGGAGAAAGAGAAAGGGTGAGAGTAAGCAACCTTGCCTGACACCGGTCTTTACCTCGAACGACTTTGTCAACTGTCCTCCATGCACGATTTTGCAGTTTAATCCATCATATGAACTCTGTATGATATTAACTATCTTCTGAGGCACGCCGTAGTGTCGAAGAAGTTTCCATAGTGTTTTTCTGTTCACGCTATCAAATGCCTCTTCGTAGTCAATGAAGTTGATGTAGAGTGATGAATTCCATTCAATTGATTGTTCCACAATGATCCGTAGAGTTGCGATTTGGTCTGTATACGATCTATCCTTACAGAATCCTCCCTGTTGGTCTCGAAGTTGGGCGTCTATGCAGTCCTTCATTCTGTTTACCAATACCCTGTTGAAGACTTCCTGGTATTGAGAGAAGAGTGATGCCCCTGTTGTTAGAAGCATTATAATAGTTAGATGGTGGCTGGCAGTGGAATCCAGGGCGCTCGTTTCGTCTTATTTAGGACTCGTCAGATGGTTGTATCTGCTTATAATGTCTGTGACTTAAGGCAATATCGAGGCCATCCCGCACAGGATACACGTATGTCAATAAAAGACTGACTAACTACAGTCCTAAACATTAATCGGAAGATTCAAAAACAACCAATATAAAAATGAGTTAAAAATTCATCTATATCAATTTTTCACACAATAGGCAATAAGATTTGTTCATTTTATAAATAGCTTTATTTTGTAGTGAACGAAGACCTCGTGGGGATAATCCATTTGTTGTTTAATGCAAAATTACAGTGTCCTCGTAAACTGTGAAAACTATACATTAAATACTTCATTTGCACATCTTCCATCAGTTGTCTCTTACAGACTTCATCATTCCTTCATTGCTGTTGTTATTACAATTAATCTATGTTTACATTACCGTTCTCTTCAATTCTATCTTTTCAACCGTCTGCTGCCAGGTATTCCTCTTCCGTTTAGTGTTATATACTACTTATATCTGTCAACATAAGTAGCACACGCCCCAATTTTACATGTATAGAAATGCTAATTTTTGTTTTTAAGTTTCACTTTTAGTTTATTTAAGATTATTAATATTTTATTTCATCAAGTTTTGTTTTGGATTACTCTTCTTTCTCTCTACATTTCTTGATTTAAAAACAAAACAATTCCATAGTATACTCCAGATTTTGTGAATATCGCACGTAATACACTTAGTCGTTTAGCTGCTGGCCAGTCAGTCGATGAAAAAGCCTATCGCTATTCAGGTCATGCTTTATGCAGTGGTGTACATGATCTACGATTAACTGTTTTAAATGAATGTGATCTACCATTTGATAATGATATTGAGTCATTAAATTTACAAGACAATCACGGTAATGTTGATAATCTTCAACCATCGTCGTCTTCTCTACCTCATCTGCCTTCACCTCCTCTCCCTCATAATAATTATTATCATCGTCATCGTGATCAACATTCTAATGATAATGAACAAATAGAAGTTTCAGTCAGTTCAATGAAAGATAAACAGAAATCAATAAGAGAAATGGACAGAGTCAATTCAATGTTAGAAAATAATTCCACTTCTAATTATAACCACAAATCTCGTAAGTATTTACCGCATAAACGATAATGATATAAAATAGAGTTTTATTTTTATTTCATTAATATGAACACATTTTGTAATTTCTTCTTTTATATAGAGAGAGCTGTGTTCATTCTAATTTTTTATTGTTCAATTAGATCCATTATACAAAACGTTTGTTTTTCTGTTGTTGCCTTTTTGTCGAGAGTATTTTCTTGTTAACATTTCGATAAACTGTCTTTCATTGTTATTCCCTTTCTCTCCTCTTTCTCTCTCTCTCTCTAGATACTATTACTATTATTGTTAGTATGATTATTTTTTCAGTGAAATTAGTTTTTCATTAAGTTTCATATGACATATTATAAATATGTATATTTGTACATGACAGTAGTTCTTGGTTGGAATTAATGTTATCAACAATTCATTTATTTAATAAAGGTCTATAAATAGAAAAGGAGAGAGACATAGAATAATTTTCAGTGTTATTTGTTATAAATGTTTTTATCTGTTGAAAAATGAATAAATGTGTATAGGTCGCTGGTTGTAACATTATCACAATTCGGTCTTTTCTCTCTCTCTCTCTTTTGATCATTATCAACTTCAGGTCTTTCAACCGTTTCGTGATTCGTTATCAGATTTAGTTACAGTCATGTTCTTAACGCTTAAATAACTCGTAGTTTGGTGGAAGAACATCATAACTCCACAATAAGTTTTATTTTCAAACACTGAATAGTATTGTTTACAATTCATGAGTATTCAGAAGTCGTTACACCAACATATTGACCTTAGCTGAATTAATATTTCGCTTATCCATAATAGTTCACTTACAATTGTATTTATCTTCCTATGATGCTATATAGGATAGTATAAGATAATATGACTAACTTTTCTCGGCATATTACTTTCCTTTATTGAGGAAAGCAAGTCTTCTTCTTAGAATTGTATTGTATGAATATTTTAATGCGTCATAACCTCAAATTGTGTATCGATAAAAATGATAATGTTTCTTCTGCCATAGTATTTTCTTTAAACTTAATGTTTGTAAAAAGAATCCCCTTTGGTGCTATAGATGCTTTCAAAAACACCATACTTCGACAAACAATTGACAGTTTCTATCCATACAGGAGATATTTAGATGATACTTTCATTATTTATGACAAAAATATAAGTTTCAAGACATTTTAGACAAGCTCAGTAACTGTCACCAATTAATTACATTTCCAATGGAATCAGAGTCGGATTCGAAATTCCACTTTTTCGATATTTTGTTGAAAAGGAAAACTGATGATTCTCTACGAAAATCGATTTACGAGGGTCAGACAAATTTGTACTAATGATGCAATCAACATCGAACTTGATAAACTATAGCTAATACTAATTAACAGTGGAGATTCACCAATATTCGTTGAGGAAAGTTTGAATTCGATACAACAACGTGAAAAAGTATTCATCGCACCAAAGAAGATTTTTTTTGTAAACATTCAGTTTAAAAGAGATACTGGGGCAGAAGAAATTCTAACAAAAGTAGACGATCAAAATATTCTATTGATCTGAACTTCATATCGACTTTTGTAATCGGCCTTTCATTTGTAGTTGTGTGACTAAAGTGATGATAATATAAAAAACACAATGAATACGTTTTATCCACTGTTTGAATTTGGGATCTTAATTCAAAAGTTCAAATCTATCTTTAAGAAGTTGAACTATATTGTGGTGTATGATACTTTTGTCTGTTGACATAAGTAATATGTAATACCAATCGGAAGTAAAAAATCGGACAGCAGAAGGCTAAAAAAGATCAAGTTGAAAAGAATAGAAAGGAAAATAGAAATGAATTATAAACTGTGAGAATCTTAAACAATATGACGGAAAAATAATGAGAATTTGCAAATAAATTATTCAGTGTATGGTTCTCTGTAATTTTGATTGTTCCCATCAATGTTCTCGTTCACAATAGTATCAATCAATTGCAAAGAATAAATACTTTATCTGATTGTTTATTTATTTATTTATTTGAACACATAAATATTGGTACAAGAGAGCGCCAATATATATGCGCCACACAAAACAATGAAAATTCGAAGAGAGATAGAAAAAAAACTAAGGAGCGCAAAAGAAAAAGAGAACAATAACGAAGAGATTGGTGTAAGGTAGTGTGGTAGTAACGAGGGAACGGAAAGGTACAATCAGAAGAAATCTTTCAAGTAAGGGAGACACAGCCACTTTTTATGAAGAAAGTAAAAGAAGGTTACAGCAGGATCGTCATTGGCTTCTATTCTGAGCCATATCTGATAACGTCTCTAGCCACTGTGTAGCACCATCTCTCAGACCCCAACCAGGGAGTCGTGAAGGACCAACACAAGCCATTCCTTTGCAGCTTTCTTTCATACCACGACACCATGTCATGCACTGACCACCTCTCCGCTTTTTCCAACCAGTCCCAGAGTCGGCAAATAATGCACGACGTGGAATTCTCTGGGACGACATTCGTAGAACATGTCCAAGCCACCGAAGTCGGTGTTTCAAGATGGTGACACCAATTGAATTATCATCTCTGTGCCCAAACACACGATGCCGAACCTCCGCATTACTGACATGGTTTGTCATCCGGTTAAAGCGCCGGACGTTCGCTTTTCGTCCTCTCATTTTCGTAAACAACACCCCCGCCACGAGAAGGCAATGAGTAGGACTTCTTTGGCAGAGGCTGTATACGCGCGGCCGTGTGAGAGTATTTCGAGAGGGAGAGCGGACTCTCCCCACTCTCGGCCGTACCAGGGCGTTGTTTAATATTCACAATATTATTCATCTTGTTAATAAAAGAAAAAAATAAACTTAAAAATTAAGTCAATCATTAATGATTTCTTAAATTGTAATTTTTAAAACAGTTAAATTCTTATTAGTATAGTTCAATAAAAATACTGAAAAGGCATTGAATAGAACAATTTTTTTGTTTTAACCTATTCTTTAATTTTTACAAATCATTATAAAAGTTTCGTTTTTAAGCATATATGTTACATGTATCACAATTTGTGTTGTCATAGTAACGTACGTTTGTCTTGAATCAAAGTGAATAACAAGAAATAAGAATATGACATATTTTAAATGATTCAATGTGAGGTACATTCAAGAGAACTTTTTAATTGAAAGTTATCAAATGAAATACATTTAAACATATAAGAGTTCAGCTAATGTTTATCGTATGTAATGAGAGCTTAGATGGTATTTCATATATTTATTGTCTTAAGTATAAATATAAGAATTACTGTAACCATTTTAAAGACATAGTATGTTTACTCTATTTGAATGTTTTTAGTCAATCTTTTGAAGTATCAACATCGTTATACAATCGTCGAAACATATATCATTTAACTATTAGAATTGTAAACTTTAAAACCGCTCTCCATCCACCTTAGTTTAAACTATTGTATGCTGTAATAATAAATATATTTTCTTGTTATATCCCAATGAGTAGAAAAATTGTATTTCTAATATTTCGTGACTTAATGTAAGGCATTTCTTCAGAGGAAATAAATAATCGAGTGGTGTGATGATCTTGTAGACTTTAACACAAAATACATGAATAATTGAAGGCCTTATGTGTTTAATTCTCTAGTTAAATTCCAATACTTAATACCTGAAGATTTATTGTGACATTATATATAACAGACTAGCAGTATGCAAGTAGGTAGATACACATGTAATACTAATACTAACGATAACAACCGCAAAAATGTAGATAGTAATTTGCATAATAATTGTTTAATTCAATTAAAATCAAACAAGGCGAAAAACGAAATCATATGGTGAATATGAAATTACAAGATAATTAGAATGCTAACAATTATTAATAACACCGATACTAATACTACTTGCATCAAAATAAGTAATAAGTTCACATGGTACACAGTTATAAAACGATATCATTTAGCTATCAATCAACTGTTTATTTTAAGAGATAGAGTGAATAAATCATACTTCATTTGTTTTCAATTTATAACCAATGTTACTATGTTGAACATTATATTAAAATAATTAAGGTATGATAACTCTAATATCATTAAGAACACTTTCACCTATTAGATCCATCAAATACTCATATACCCTTCTCTATATTTCTTGTTGACTTTGGCTTGAACAGTCTAATTAGTAATACAATAGTCTTTACATTGAATAATTCAGTTCAACGTTGACAGCATGATTGATTGATTCTTCAATGATCTCTTAACTGTTATATATAATAATAAGAAAATTAGTGAAGTAAATGCAGTCTGGAATCAATTCTCTCTCAAAATGTCATTATGTACTCAATGAAAAATGTGAACCAAACTGAAAATCAATTTCATTTTTAAACGGTCAGTAACAAAAATTTAGAGCTATTTAGGCCTAAGATTCTTTTGAATATCATTCATAATAATTTTTGTGATACCTCAAAACTGTACACAACTAAGAAGCAAAGAAAAAAAAATTGTAGCACACATTAAACAAACTGTTCATTTTGTTTTGTTTTGTTTAAATGTGTCCACTTGTTGTAAATCAAATAATCTCCGGGTTAAATGTGGGTAGATAATGTTGTATTTAACGTGTTTTTGTTACTTAATATACATGTAGATTAATTCAATCTGTAATGGATACACATTCTACATGTTTGTTTAAATGTGTGTGTGTGTGTGGATGAGCACACACTTGTGTTTGTGAATCTGTTTATCCTTCTTGCTGATTTGTGTAAAATCAACCAAGTTATAGTATCTTTGCCATGGAAATGATATAAGTTTTATAGTTAACTGAATAAATCAACATATTAAGATGTAAAGCAACAACCGTTTTATAATAAAACAATATTTAAGATATTTATCACGTCACACTGTACCTTTGTACTGTTGAGAACAATAGAATATTGAACGTTAAAATCGAAATATTTGATTATAAGCAGAGACGAATGATGGCTAACAGTGGAATCCAGGACGCGCATTCTGTCTTATTTAGGACTCGTCAGCTTGATGTACCTACGTCCTAGAGTTGTTCTCCCCGGGTTTCAAGCAACCATTACAAAAATTTACGAAATATTTAATGTTTTACTTTACATAAAAACATGCTTGGCTTTCAGAAGGTTATTAGTGACCAAACTGAAATATTCCATAAGACCATAGTGTAACAAACTGTTGGACTATGATGTATCATGAGGTATTTTGGTTAGCCTTGGATATTGTGATGATCCATTAGAGCTATATTGACTGGAACACGTGTTCCTGGAGTTTTTACCATGACAGATGGGTCCATACGAGGATGGTAAATTGGACGTTCGATTGTAAAGTACTTTTAACTGCAGAGAGTTGTGACGGGAGTAAGGTGTCGCCCTAAGTTAAACAACATATGCTGGCTACATACAACAAAAGGATCCGGTTAAATAGGTCGATCCTAACATTATCTTTACTCTTACCACCTTGGTTTTAATAATTTTTAATACAATTAAACTTTCGATTCCAGAGTATCATCGATTTTTCGTCAACTAAACGCAATATATTTCTTGACTCGAACTATACTACTTGTATTATTCTATCTAGCATTTGTATTATTTGTAGTTCTGATCGTAATTTAAAACGGTATTCGATTGTAAAGATATCATTTTGTTGTTGCAATGTTTTAAATCTAACAATCCGATACTGTTACAGTGTTCATGTTATTCTCAATGCTAATTTATGATTCAGTATGAAACTTATGTTTTAGATCATTTGTATATATATATAATAGTGACAATAGTATTCTCAACACCAATTGTTCATTATTACAATGAATATCTCTTTAACATGGATTAAACATTATTTAAATGTTTTCAACAGTCAATATCTGCCACCCATAATCAGTGAATAAAATTTTTTTTATCAGTTCAGTTGCTATAATTGTTTCCATTTATCGTGTCTAAGGCTCTTGAATTCTAACATATGTCTCTCGTTTTTTTAAAGGATAAATAGAATGAGAAACATCCGAAGTATTGCAGTGTTTCTGTTTAAGTTCTCCAGTATTTAAAGTTGGGATAAATTATAGATGTTTTACAGTAAAGCGTGAGTGAGTCCACTTTAAATTCGTAATTATTTGATCAAAACAAATTTCAAACATGTAGTTTATTCGGGATATTTTGACAGTTGAGAAATATGTGTCTCAGACGTTTGAATAAGCCATTAGAAGCCTATACGTTTGAGCCAGGTTCAATGTTGATTACAATTGAAGGTTGACTGATATACATAAAGTGACATTTTCGACTGATTTATTGACTTGACCCAACTCTAAGTACTTGTGATCACAAACTATAGTGTTTTGAGACACTTATAATGGGGCGATAAGACGAACGTGCTAACTGATATACATCACAGAATATATTTTCTAAAATGAAAATATTTTTATGTTCGTAAGTAGATATAGGCGAAGGAAGACATTATTTATCAAATTGAAACCTATTATCTTCTCTTTCAATCCACTGAACATCTAAATTCGTCTAAGTTCATTCTCATAATCGGTTTTTATAGCACTCTCAGACCTGGAGTTCTAAAGTTATCTTATATTTTACTATAACAAGAATTCATTCCTTCTGAAATTATATTGTCTATATATAACGTTTACTACTACCACTGGTTCTATTACTCTGATATTTGTCTTGATAATTTCGATGATGATTTATCTGAGGCGTGTTCATAGTTACTGACTATCTGGTTTATAGTTTACTGGACAACCGCGGTTAATGGTTGGAGGCTGTTAGGTGATATGGCTCAGATTCGATCATAATATTATATATGGATTCACTTTTTATCTTGCTTTAAGTTATAAATCCCTTCAGACATACTTTTTCTTTCCTCCTTTTCGAGTCTTATTTTGAATGTTTAGTGTTTCTCACTTTCATTCCCGACCGAAGCTGCTACCTTTACGCGGTGGTCAGGCTTGCCTATCGTGATGACCCCATCGAGCTATATTGGCTGGAACATATGTTCCTGTAGGTTCTACCATGCCAGGCAGGTCGATTGGTGAACGGTGAGACTAAAAGCAGCAACTCAAGGTCTGAGGGCGAAGTCGTACTGCTGACTGTAGAGAGGTGTGACAGCAGTAAGGTGTTTCCCTCAGACAACCAGCATGACAGCGATGCTGCCTTCCCACAAGGAGGGGTGGGGTTAGAAAAGGTCGACCCTAAAAATGTCACACCTCACCTTACCTCACGGATTTCCGTCTCCGGCGGTAAGGCCCTTTGAAGAACGGAACTAACACGTCAAAATCCTTCCACAAAAAGGCCGTGCGCGACCGGCCTCAAGCAGTTGTCCCTTGGGCTCTGCGGTCACGCTCCCAGGTCGTCAAGACCAACACTAATCCAATTTCCTTTTCAGGTTCCTCAAGAAATACCCTTCCACGGTGTGGGCAGCCGGGAAGTGACATCAGCCCTCATACCCGTAACAGCACACGAGACTGACTCTCACTTTCATTACTACCATGGTTATTTTGTCTCGTGTTAGTTTATGAATGAAGTTTGAGCTAACGCATATCTGTACCAGGCTTTACGTTGATTGTAACTGAATGACCAAGTTCCATCTTTTATTGAGTGTAACCATGAAGAACGAACCTATGCTTTTTCTGATAAACTGTGGGCTTTTCATATTCAGTTGTTGTTCTCTAGTTTGGATCAATTAAATTCTTTCTCTGAGTTCCCAAAAAGTAGTTACTACTCCTTATTCTGTATGGGAAATAGCAAAATGATGGGGGAAAAATGAACTCTATTAAATAATAATTGACTCAAATTCTTTTAGTAAATTATATTTTGTTCATTATTTTTAT